CCTTCTCCTCCTTCCTTCAGTCTTTTCCAGCATCAGGGACTTCTCTGAGTCAGGTTTTCCCATCAGGTGGCCAAAGTACGGAGCTTCAGCTTCAGCCTCACTCCTTCCAGTGAACATTCAGGACTGATTTCCTTTAGGATTGACTGGTTTGATCTCCGTGCAGTCCAGGGGACCCTCAAAACTCTTCTCCAGCACCACAATCCAAAAGCATCAGTTCTATGCTGAGCCTTCTTTATGGACCAACTCACATCCCTACCTGACTACTGCAAGAACCATAGCTTTGAGTATAGGGACCTTTGTTGGCAAAGTAATGCCTTTTGTTTCTAACACAGTGTCTGGTTTTTATCATAACTTTCCTTGCAAGGAGCAGGCCTGTTTTAATATTCTGACTGCAGTCAGCTTCAGAGGTGATTACAGTAATGAATTATTTCTCCCCGCCGCCCCGCCCACTGCGCCCGGAAGCCTATCCTCTGGCTCCCGCTGTCCCCCTGCGTGTTCGCTCAACGCCCCCGCCCCCGATGACCAGGTTCTCTGAGTCCCCGCCTCCAGGCCGCTCCGCTCTTTCACTGCGCGTGCGCGCAGCGTCCCGCAAACCCGGAAGTGAAGCGCTGCAAGTGGCGGTCTCTCAGCTCAGCGTGAGTTTCTCTCTTTCTAATCATACCTGCGGCCTGCAGTCTCCTTTCCTCAGTATCCCGAGCCTCAGCTTCGCTAGTGACTCTAAATCTCTGCGCCCTTCCCACCATCCCCAGCAAGTTCAGACGTCTTGATGAGCGGCAAAGGGGCGCCTCCATTTTGCTTTGAAGTCGCTCTGAAGCCGCTTCCAGCTTTTCGTCCACAGAGACGCTGCGTTTCGCTCCTCCTTCCTGCTTCAAACCATGATCCCTCTGCCCTTCCTACACCACATACAATTCTCTTCGGCGAGGTGGGTTTATTAGCTCCCCGGCCCCAGCCTCGTCCTCTCGGCACCTGGCCGCGCCGACCACCCCGCTCCCGGAGAGGTCGGGTTGTCTCCCGGGTCCTGGGATTCTGGAGAGCCCTCCCCGCTTCAGAGACCCCCTCCCTGCCAGCCCTTCTGTCCTCGCGTCTCCTCAGGCCGGCGTTTCTGCCCCGTAGGCATAGTGATGTTGCCCTGACTCGTGTCGGGGGAGGTGACCTGCGCCAGCCACGTGACAGCCGAGGTTCTTCCGTCCCAAATTCCAGCCGCTGTTGTTTGGCTTTTGCGGGAACCGGGCTTCGAATTCAGTCGCCATCCCTGTAAATAGTGGGCGAGGGGTTGTCAGGAGAAGTAGAGACAGCGACTCCTAGAGAAATAGAAAATGAAGAAAAACATGAGGGAGAAGCGATGGCAATGAAGAGGATTGTGAGGAACTTGTGAAGAGAGAACATGAAAAAGTATCGGCCTTGAAGGTAGCGGTTAAGGGAAAAGTTTAGAGAAAAGCAGAATTTCCTGAGAGTTAAAGGTGAGCAAGATAGGGAGGTGTTGTATCTCCCAGAGTTCGCTCAGATTCGTGTCTGTTGAGTCCAGGGATGGTATCTCACCATCTCGTCCTCTGCTGCACCCTTCTATAGCCTTTAAGGGAGAGGGGTTGTAAATCAGGGGTCCCAAAGAGGGCAACAGTGTAGACGCAGTTCACACAGAGAGCCCGCAAAGGGGATACAAGTGTTGGGACCTTGACTTACAGACAATATCCTGCTGAGAGAGAAAGGGGGCTTCTAGTGGTTGGAGGAGCTGAGAAAGGACCCTGAAAGGTAGCATAGCCACGTGGGGGTGCCAGAGAGTTGGGAGGAAGGGCGGGCAGAGATGGAGGAAGAAAGGCAGAAATATAGGGAGATTGAGGATCACCAGGGAGGTTGGATAGAAAGCATCTTAACGGGGAACAGATGGCAGAGAGAGGCCGGATGGGAATCAGGGAAGAAGAAGTGGAGGACAGGCACAGCAGGAGAGCAGAAGGGAAGAGGAAGGGAGACGAGAAAGAAGTAGGGAAACATAAACCAAATGAAGGGGAAACAAGTAGTGTGCAGGTGGGGGAAGGGACTAGATCCAGAAGAGTGCTGAATCGATTGTAGAAGTTGATTATACAATGTATTATTAAGTCGTGATACGTTGATTTTTGGCTTTAAAATCTACTAAGTTTAAAACATTCTTTTTTAAATTATACAGATGAAAATGATAATTGCAAAACTTACGTCTGTAAGGCTTGTGCATTTTGTAATTATCTGTATTAAAACATAACATATGCAAGGCTATAGAGGTGGGGGCTGCGACAGTGACTTGATTCTCTCAGAGGTGAGTCATCCCCATCCCTTTTTCTGGTGTGGAGTAGAGGTTAAGAGTCATGACGTAATTTAAACAGTTAGTCTGATACTCCATCTGCCTCTCTTTTATGTGATCTGAACTAGTGAGCTGAGTTGATCTGATGATGCTTCCCTCAGGTCCAGAAGCTGAGCAACAGTGATCCCTGAAATGATTGACCAAATTGGGTGTGTGGCAGTTCTTGGAGTGACTGCCCAGTTAGTATTAGAATTTGAAATGGATCCGTTTTGCAAAATGAAAAATGACAATAGTAGGATGGAGGCAGGAGCATAGGCTCAGAGTCAGAGAGAATCATGAGCCATCTTCTGTAAATAAAGGTCAATGTGAAGCAATGCCTCCCACCTCCGCTGGCTTCCCCGTGTCCTCCGGGCAGCATCCTGACTCCTCAGGTCGCTGCCAGTGTCTCCAGTCTCATCCTGGGAGCCGACCCCGTTCTCACGGTCAGTCTGTCCTGCTTACATTCACTTAGTCCTTGTTCATAGACACCAAAACCTTCTCTGTCTCGGGTCTTAGTTGCTACGTCTACCTTTGGTCATTATATCACTGTTGCCCTTGCTCTTTCTGTTCGTTCAGGTCAAGGCCAGAGACGTCTCCCCACCTCCTTCTGATATTCTCTGTCATGTTAACCAGGTTTACTGCCTCTATATTAATCACCTTCATCAGAGATGCCCTTCTCTTTTGATTATTTGGAATGTTTCCTCTTTTCCCTTCATTGAAGGATGCCCCTGTGTTCCTCTTCCTTCCAGGATGTGTGCAACATCTCTCTTACAACATGTCACAGGCTATGAATGTGTGTTTTGCTGAAGAATTCTCAGGGGAGACGGAGGTTACAGGGTGGGTGATGATGGTTCCCATATCTGTTCTAGACATTTCAACTCTAATTGATCCTTACCCCATGTGGAGACTTAATTACTCAAAGCAAAAAGATGTGAGAGTCCTAAAAAACCTGATAGATCTAGTGTCTTGAGGTGTCCCCATGTTTTAGTCTGCGGTGTCACTGCTCACTGCAGCCCCCAAGTCTACTAAGCTCTGTCCATTCAGGGACCAGTTGCCATCTTGGACAGCAGCTTTGCCTTCCAGCAGTTCAGCTGCCCAGAGCAGCAGATGCTGAATTTCCTGTGGTTATCTTGCATTTAGCTGTGAGCAGGGAGAACAGGAGCCAGTGACTTTGAGGCCTCTCTCGTCTTGTGACTTCTTTATTGAACTCAGTCTGCCTCTCTCAACTATATAATGTCCACAGTTGCTGACAGGTTTTCCCAGAGGACCAGGTTCTTTTTCTCCATATTCAGTGCCCAGTGTCCTTGGATTTACAGCTTGGGTGGATTTCTGTTGCAATACGCATGCCTAGTGGTCTCTGCTCTTTTTCAAACATGCATGGAGAAGAGGTAGAAAAATGGGAGAAGGTGAAGGGAAGCTTCAACAAGGTCTCCAGGAGGATTGTGAGAGCAAGAGTGGACCTTTTGATGAACCCAGTGAATGGGTGTGTGTGTGTGTGTGTGTGTGTGTGTGAAACAAGCATTGTTGTGGGAGATGTTGGTCAAAAGGTACAGGCTATGAGTTGTAAAATGAGTGCGTTCTGGGGAGGTATGTGCAGCATGCTGACTGTAGTTAATCCTATTCTGTTACTGCATGCTGGGAATTTGTCAGGAGTGTACATCGTCAGTGTTGTCACCACACACAGAACATGGGAATTTGGAGGTGATGGATGTGTTGGTTAGTGGATTGTGATAAATATTTCACAGTGTACACGTGTCACATGGTCACATGTTGTATGGTATGTATATACATAACCCTTTCATTAGTCGGTTCTCCCCCATCAGACACGCTCTTCAGGTTCTCGTGTGGGGCCTTGCCCCAGGAATGTGCACAGAGCCGCAGATGATTCCAATCTGGATCCTGCATTGAGCACCAGGGCTCTTAGCCTTCACTTCTGAGACTGAGATTGGGCCCTGGGGGAGGGGAGGGCGCTCTGCTCTGAGTGGGGCTGGACCAAGGCCTGCTGTGTGACCTCAAGGGCATCGTGGGATCAGCAGAGGTGCCCCTGCTGCTGTGTATATGAGTTCTCACCAGGAGGGGAGAGTGACCCAAGGGAAAGTGTGGGAAAGTCCCAAGTTGGTCTCTGTGTGGGAGCTGCCTGTCCTGAGTCCCTCCTGAGACAGTGGGCACAGAGGACTGTCTGTTCCTCATGGTGAGGGCTTCCCTGTGTGTGTGCTTGGGGTTCAGGAAGGGGGTGTGTTGACTCTAAGCATTAAACAGCATGCTTTCCACTTTTGTGATAGAACTGTGAAGACTCGTGTCACCTGAGGAAGAAGCCCAGAAGAGGAGGATGGTGAAAGAAAACGTGTCAGGAATGGCTCTTTCTTGGGTAAGGTCATATTCTCAGTGGGTTCTCAGTCTGTCCTTCCTGAAATGTCCTTCTCTGGACTCACTAATCGTGTCTGACTCTGGAGTGTCCTGTCTGACTCCTGTACATGCACACTCACCTGGGGCTTTCCCTCAGGGTCTGTCATCTCCACTTAGATCCCGTCTCCCCATGACCTGGTAACCTGGCCCTTGTGAGGAGGCTCCCCTGGGCATGGTCCTGAGCAGGGCTTCTCACTCACGGTTGGAGACAGGGTCTCAGCACTGTTGGGCAGCAGGGATTGCTTAGGGCCCATCTGGATATGCTGTCTGCTCTGTCAACCAGGGTAAAGAAGCTGCATGTGGAAGTCAGGTATTAGTGTGCACAATACTTGTTAAAATCTGGAAAAGAGGGAGAATCAGATCTGACTTTTCATAGTACATAAATGCTGGAGAGGGTGTGGAGAAAAGGGAACCCTCTTACACTGTTGGTGGGAATGCAAACTATACAGCCACTATGGAGAACAGTGTGGAGATTCCTTAAAAAACTGGAAATAGAACTGCCATATGACCCAGCAATCTCACTGCTGGGCATACACACTGAGGAAACCAGAATTTAAACAGACACCCCAATGTTCATCACAGCACTGTTTATAATACCCAGGACATGGAAGCAACCTAGATGTCCATCAGCAGACAAATGGATAAGAAAGCTGTAGTACATATACACAATGGAATATTACTCAGCCATTAAAGAGAATACATTTGAATCAGTTCTAATGAGATGGATGAAACTGGAGCCTATTATACAGAGTGAAGTAAGCCAGAAAGAAAAACACCAATACAGTATACTAACGCATATATATGAAATTCAGAAAGATGGTAACGATAACTTTATATGCAAGACAGCAAAAGAGACATAGATGTATAGAACAGTCCAAATTTTGGACTCTGTGGGAGAACGCGAGGGTGGGATGATTTGAGAGAATACCATTGAAACATGTATATTATCATATGTGAAACAGATCACCAGTCCAGGTTTGATGGATGAGAGAGGGTGCTCAGGCCTGGTGCACTGGAATGACCCAGAGGGATGGGATGGGGAGGGAGGTGGGAAGTGGGAGGGGTTTCAGGGTGGGGAACACATGTACACCCATGGCTGATTCATCTGAATGTATGGCAAAAACCACCACAATATTGTAAAGTAATTAGCCTCCAATTAAAATAACTAAATTTTTAAAAAATAATAATAAGTAAAATTAAATGCGATGGAACAGAATAGAAAGCCCAGAGATAAATCCACGAACCTATGGTCACCTTATCTTCGACAAAGGAGGCAAAGATATACAATGGAAAAAAGACAACCTCTTTAACAAGTGGTGCTGGGGAAACTGGTCAACCACCTGTAAAAGAATGAAACTAGAACACTTTCTGACACCATACACAAAAATAAACTCAAAATGGATTAAAGATCTAAATGTAAGACCAGAAACTATAAAACTCCTAGAGGAGAACATAGGCAAAACACTCTCTGACATAAGTCACAGCGGGATCCTCTATGACCCACCTCCCAGAATTTTAGAAATAAAAGCAAAAATAAACAAATGGGACCTAATGAAACTTAAAAGCTTTTGCACAACAAAGGAAACTATAAGCAAGGTGAAAAGACAGCCCTCAGATTGGGAGAAAATAATAGCAAACGAAGCAACAGACAAAGGATTAATCTCAAAAATATACAAGCAACTCCTCCAGCTCAACTCCAGAAAAATAAATGACCCAATCAAAAAATGGGCCAAAGAACTAAACAGACATTTCTCCAAGGAAGACATACAGATGGCACAAAAACATATGAAAAGATGCTCAACATCACTCATTATCAGAGAAATGCAAATCAAAACCACAATGAGGTACCATTACACGCCAGTCAGGATGGCTGCTATCCAAAAGTCTACAAGCAATAAATGCTGGAGGGGGTGTGGAGAAAAGGGAACCCTCTTACACTGTTGGTGGGAATGCAAATTAGTACAGCCACTATGGAAAATAGTGTGGAGATTTCTTAAAAAGCTGGAAATAGAACTGCCATATGACCCAGCAATCCCACTTCCGGGCATACACACCGAGGAAACCAGATCTGAAAGAGACACTTGCACCCCAATGTTCATCGCAGCACTGTTTATAATAGCCAGGACATGGAAGCAACCTAGATGCCCATCAGCAGACGAATGGATGAGGAAGCTGTGGTACATATACACCATGGAATATTACTCAGCCATTAAAAAGAATTCATTTGAATCAGTTCTAATGAGATGGATGAAACTGGAGCCCATTATACAGAGCGAAGTAAGCCAGAAACATAAAGATCATTACAGTATACTAACACATATATATGGAATTTAGAAAGATGGTAACGATAACCCTATATGCAAAACAGAAAAAGAGACTCAGATGTATAGAACAGACTTGTGGACTCTGTGGGAGAAGGCGAGGGTGGGATGTTTCAAGAGAACAGCATCGAAACATGTATATTATCTAGGGTGAAACAGATCACCAGCCCAGGTTGGATGCATGAGACAAGTGCTCGGGCCTGGTGCACTGGGAAGACCCAGAGGGATCGGGTAGAGAGGGAGGTGGGAGGGGGGACCGGGATGGGGAATACATGTAAATCCATGGCTAATTCATTTCAATGTATGACAAAAACCACTGCAATGATGTAATTAGCCTCCAACTAATAAAAATAAATGGAAAAAAAGAAAAAAAGAAACTAAATGCGTATCTCTTGAAAATCTTAAATGTTTGGCAATGGAATGAAAAGTTGAGAAAGAGACTTCAGGTCTAGAGAGTGTTTCATTACATTTTCTCATTTAAACTGTGAAATCAAGTTTACTAATTTTTTTTTTTTTGGCTGCATGGTGAGCTTGGGTGGTCTTAGTCCTGTGAGTAGGGATTGAACCCAAGACCATGCAGTGGAATTGTGGGACCTTAACCACTGGACTGTCAGGGAATTCCCCAACTTTCCTAATCTTAATTAAATATTTCATTAATGGAGTATAATAATAAATTTGTGATTGTGTATTTCATACACATACATAACTACATACCTCAAATTAAGGGTAAAGTCACATTTTAAAAAAATACATATTTATTTGTTGTACTGGGTCTTCGTTGCTTCAATGGCTTTTCCCTTGTTCTGTTGAATGGTGGCCACTCTTGTTGCAGTGGGGGCTTCTCCTTGCATTAGCTTCTCTCATTTTGCAGCACAGGCTCTAGAGTGCACTGCCTTCAGTAGTTTCACCTGCTGGGCTCTAGAGCTCTGGCTCAGGAATTGAGACTCAGGGACTTAGTTGCCCCTCAGCATGTGGGATCTTACCAGACCAGGCAACAACCCATGTCTCTTGCATTGGCCAGTGGGTTCTTTACCATTGAGCCACCAGGGAAGCTTTCATATTATTTTTAAACACAGGTATTTTATACACATTAGAATAAATCTTCTGTATATTATTTTCTGCTTGTATTACTTTTTTTTTTTTGAACTACAATAAGATAATGTTGAGGACTTCCCTGGTGGTACAGTGTATAAGAATGTGGCTGCTAATGTAAGGTGCACAGGTTCGATCCTAGATCTGGGAAGATGCCTCAGAGCAACTAAGCCCATGTACCACAACTACTGAGCCTGTGCTCTAGAGCCCAGGAGCCTTAACTCCTGAAGCCCGCACACTCTATAGAGCCTGTGCTCCCAAACAAGAGAAGCCACTGCAAGGAGAAGCTGGGTACTGCAGCTTCAACTAGAGAAAGCCCACTCACAGCAATGAAGGCCCAGCATAACCAAAACAAACAAGCTTTAAAAAAGACATAGAATGCTGACAAACTTACTAACATACAACTGATTGATTTTTAATGTCCCAAAGATGCTGAAATACACAAGTAAAAGAAAATGGGAGTATCATCCCAGAATGTGTCAAAAGGCAACTCTTTGGAGTAGGAAATGGCCACCCTGGCAGGCTACCATGGGGTCGTAAATAGTCTGACACGACTGAGCAACTGAACAACAACAACCTTCACACACAACAGAGTGAGCTCTAAAAAACAAATCTAAACCTCTAACTTTCCTCCTGCAGATTCTTCAGTGACTTCCAGTAGCTTTTGGAATAACGTCCTAAATCCATAGACCTTGTAGAAAGCAGCCTGTAGCTGGCATCAACCCTCTTTGTTCCCTGTGTCCCAGTCACACTGGCTGGTTTTCTGTTCAGTAAATATCTTCCTGCCTCAGAGCCAGCACTCAGGCTGTTCTCTGTCCTTGCAACACTCTTCCATTTCCCACCATTTCAGTACTAAGTGTTTCTTCCTCACGGAGACCTCGTCTGATTTCTTGATGTAGGTCAAGACTTTCTGATAAGTCTTCTCTTAGCACCAGGCCTGGTTCAGAGCACATATAACAATAGTAATGTTAAAATTATGAATGTAATTGGCTGACTGGCTGCTAGATTGTAAGCTCTATCACCTTCACTGCTGTATTTCCAGTTTGGGACACAGAGTTGGTGCTCAGTTAAATTTTGATTGCATGAAAGAAAAAAATAAAGACAACTCTTCTTGTTTCAATCAGTTTGTTTCCATGTGCATGCATGAGTGCATGGATATGCAACTCTGGTTTTATTACAAAGCATCATCTCATAAATATGCTTTATGCTTTGTAGCAGTTGCACTTGTATCTTAAGTGTATTCCATGACCTTAAGTTTTTCCTACCTCATCATATGAATGATGTAAATAGTAGTAAGATTATTGACATTGTGTGGATTAGCGGGGAGAGGGGGTGATTCTGTATAGTGACGGTTTTGCTGTTCCATTGCATTTCAGCTTCCTTGAACTTGTTTCCTGTATTCTCTGGGAACTCTCTGTGGATGGTCTTTTATGTTGTGTTACTTAACTCTGATTCCTTCGGTTCAGTTGTCTCTCCCAACCACCTGAACTCAGGTGCTGTTGCCTCATTTCTTAACTATTTAATATGAGTGATATCTTAGAGTGACAGAGTTTTCTCCCCAGTAAGGTGGACACAGATCTTTTTCTAACGTGCTGTTATGTTGATGACAAGTTCATATGGGTAAAGTCTTTAGAGTAACACTTAGTGTGTATGAAGTGTTGAGCCACCTCTTGTCAGTGTGATGATGACATCCTCATCACAGTCTGTGTTCTTTTAAAGCCACTGTGGACTCTGTCATCTCTGAAGACACCAGTCTTGCTGTAGCTCATCTCGACAGTGATGTCACTCAGTGTGTCGAACGTAACACTTTTGCATAGACAACCCACTGTTGATTGTAATTTGTTTATTTTTCATGTCTTGTCCACACATATGACAAATTCATGTTGATTGGAGGATATCATCATCTTATGAAAAAACAGGAAATTAAATTAGAGACCACCAATTTGCTCCAAATAGATTTGTATGAATCTATCAGAATATTACTTCAGCTGAATTGACCTTACCTCTCTCGCTTCTTCTCCTTTTCTGTGAAAATAAGAACCTTCCTCAGGGCCCGTTGGTGAAATGTGTTTTCATTTCAGGCACAGTTGACCTTCAAGGATGTGTTCATAGATTTCACTCCTGAGGAGTGGGAATGCCTGGACCCTGCCCAGAGGACCTTGTACAAGGACGTAATGGTGGAGACCCTCAGGAACCTGCTGTCTCTGGGTGAGGATCACTTTCTTCCGAAGTGGTGATATACTTTGGGGTACTTATGCATGTTCCCTCTGTGTCTCTTGGGAGCCCCTGTTTTTCTTGATTGAGTTCAAAGCCTTGTTGACTCTCACATGTAAGGCTTTGTGATTGGCATCAGGAGTTCAAACTTGTCCTTTCTTCAGGTGACCTGCCCACTGTGTGATACACAAGGAGTTTTTCCACAGCTTGAGCATTTATAAAGCTGATTTCAAACTTGTGAAGGATCGAACCCATGCCTCCTGTATTTGCAGGAATAGAGCCACCAGGATGTTAAGGAAATTAAATAAATAGTCTTATTTAGGCTTCAAGACAAAGCAGTGCATTCCTCTGACCTTCCTTCTAACCTGCCTGGACGCACCCTGACTGTGAATGCCCTGACTGCCTGCTCTGAGTGCAAGGCCTGTGGCACCATAAATAAGTTAGGGGACAAATCTTAAGTTTGTTCAGCCCATGGAGGGGCTCTGGCCAACCAAGCCCCAGGCTTAGCAGCATCCAAGTTTTACAAGACAAAACAAACAGCATTAAGATGAAACCAGAGGTGCTGTTTGCTCACAGATTGATGATGATGTCAGTTTGTGTCCTGGGATTATAAGCAGGAACCCCGAACTGCAATCTTTGAAGTCTCACCCATGGAGTGGACATGCTGCTTGGGACCTTTTCCCAATTCAGACTCCAGATGTGCTGTGTCCTGGCACTTCCCAGCGCTGTTTGAGTCTGGATGTTGGTCGGAAGCCAATTTGATGATGTATCCTCTTTTGTTTCTATTTCTCTTTTCTTTTAATGGTAATATATTGAGAGTCAGCTAGATAATTCTCTGTTTGTGTTATGTATTATTTATTTGTATAGGGATTCCCTAGTTTCTCAGATGGTAAAGAGTCTGTGTGCAATGCAGGAGACCCATATTCGATTCCTGGGCTGGTAAGATCCCCTGTAGAAGGAAATGGCAACCCACTCCAGTATTCTTGCCTTGAAAATCCTATGGCTGGTTGCACCTGGTGGGCTACAGTTCGTGTGGTCGCTAAGAGTCAGACATGAGTGAACACCTTCACTTTCACTTTTTTCATTTGTATAGAACACATGGCTTATTTTGTTAACAAATCCTTTGACCCTGAGACGAAAGTGAAAACTTTTGGCAAAACATTAATTGGTGCTGTGAGCAGGATTTGTGAGACAAAATGCCACTCTGTAAGAAGAAAAGAGATTAAGATTGATGAAGTTTTTATTCTGAGATGGGAAGGTTCATCTTTACTCATTAGCTAATAAATGGGATGTATTCACTAGATTATGTGAGAGTTGAGACCTTAAATTTAGTGGACTGAACCCTTAGAAGTTACTGAATGTTTGTGACTCTGGCCCCTTGGGAAAGGATAAGAATCTGCCCTGCTGGATGAGAGGCTGGATCCTCCTCTCTCCTACTGTGAAGTACATAAGGCTAACTTAAAATTGTCTGAAGAGAAACTACAAGTGGAAACAGAATTATGCGTTTAGTGAGGATGACTGTCCACATTACAATGTCAAGTTATATTTTAGTTGATCAAATCTTCACTTTTTAAGTCGGCTGTCGATTGAGCCGGCCCACAGCTCCAATAGTGTCCCCCACTGCCCTTTCTCTCTCCATTCTCTGTCCTGTTGTGGCCTTTCACCCCTCCCAACCCCTCTGTCTCCCTCTCCATGAGCTGGTCCCCTTCTAACTTCCCCTGTCTCTCTGGGGGGAGGGGAGCTTCCCCGACTCCTACCCCCACTCAGTTTGAGCGACAATCCAAGATTTTTATCAGCCCATCTGTCCCTGTTATCACAGTCAATTTGAGCAGAATTTGGTCTGTATTTTAGCCATGAAACCATGACTATAGAAAGGAAAGTGGCTTTTTTGATACAGGATGGCCATGATATTCTTTAGACTCTGGAGAAAACATAACTCCTATGAGTCTACTGCCTTTATTTGAATAAATGGAATATTAGTGCTGTTAGGTTGCATAGAATATTGCCTCTTTTACAGGAAAGATCAGGAATTTTGGGTTTTTTTGGGTTTTTTTTGGCTGCAGCATGTGACAGGCAGCTGGAATCTTAGTTCCCCATTCATGGATGGAATCTGCGCCCCCTACAGTGGAAGCACGGAGTCCTAGCCTTTAGAGCACCATAGCCTAGCCATTAGAGCAGGGAATTTCCCTCAAAGATTACTTTCGGGTAAAAAATGTATTAACCTTTTGTTATGCTTATTGTGATATGTCCCTTTGTCTACTACATTATATCATGTATGTTGTTAATTTGCATTGTATTCCTGACAGTGTTGTCTCTGACTCTGGGTAATAAGTTTTCAAAGCATATTCCTTTCTTGTGATAAGAATACATTTTAAAAATAATTTATTTCTTATTCATTTTTGGCTGTGCTGGGTCTTTGTTGTGATTTGGGCTTCTCTCTACTTCTGGCAAGTAGGGCGTACTCTCTGGTTACAGTGCACAGGCTTCTCACTGCACTACCTTCTCTTGTTGCAGTGCATGGGCTCTAGGCGCCCAGGCTTCAGTAGTTACAGATGCCAGGCTCTAGAGCATAGGCTTAGCTGCTCCGAGGCATGTGTAATCTCCCCAGACCAGCGCTTGAACCTATGTGCCCTGCATTGGCAGGTGATTCTTTACCCCCGAGCCACCAGAGAACCCCAAAGTGTGTTCCTGTACATGTATGTTGGGGCCAGTGAACTAGATAAGGTTACTGTATAGATAGGGAATTGCTGTATTGAATGGCTATTGTGTAAGTAGAGAATATTTCATTTACTAATTTTTAAAATTTACAGATGATGGTCTTTCTGTGTGTATTATCCAGTGTAACTGGTATGAATTACTTGTTAATGTCATAAAATGGCCTATAAAAGTGTGTTTTGTTTTGGTTTTAAATCATACGAAGGAATTCCCTTGTGGTCCAGTGGCTAGAATTCAGCACTTTTAACTGCTTGGGCCTAGGTTCACTCCCTGGTCATGGAATTAAAATCCCACAAGGGACGTTGTATGACCAAAAAAAAGAAAATTGTTTTAAATGAATCCTTTATTTCCTAATGCTGTGTTTGTTGTGCAGTTGTAAACTGCCCTTTTGTTCTTTTTTTTGTTCCGTCACTAAGTCATGTTTGATACTTTGCAACCCCATCAACTACAGCATGCCAGGCTTCCCTGTGCTTCACTATTTCCCTGAGTTTGCTGAAACTCACGTCCATTGAGTCAGTGATGCCATCCAACCATCTCATCCTCTGTTGCCCCTTTTTCCTTCTGCCCTTGACCTTCCCCAGCATCAGGGTCTTTTCCAGTGAGTCAGCTCTTTGCATCAAGGAGTCTGATTCTGGAGCTTCAACTTCAGCATCAGCCCTTCCAGTGAATATTCAGGGTGACTTCCTTCAGGGCTAACTGGTTTTATCTCCTTGCAGTCCAAGGGACTCTCAAGAGCCTTCTCCAGCACCACAGTTCCAAAGCATCAATTCTTTGGCACTCAGCCTTTTTTATGGTTCAACTGTCACATCCATACATGATGACTGGAAAAACCATAGCTTTGACTCTGTGGACATTTGTTGGCAAAAGTGATGTCTCTGCTTTTTAATATGCTCTCTGGGTATGTCATAGCTTTTCTTCCAAGGAGTAAGCATCTTTTAATTTCATGGCTGCGGTCACCATCCATGGTGATTTTCGAGCCCAAGAAAATAAAATCTGGCACTGTTTCCTTTTTTTTCCCCATCTATTTGCCATCAAGTGATAGGACCAGATGCCATGGTCTTAGTGTTATGAATGTTGAGTTTTAAGCCAGTTTCTTTTTACTGTCCTCTTTCACTCCATCAAGAGGCTGTTTAATTCCTCTTTGCTCTCTGCCATTGAAGTGGATTCATGTGCATATCTGAGATTGTTGATACTTCTTCTGGCAATCTTGATTCCAGTTTGTGTTTAATCCAGCCTGGCATTTTGCATGATGTACTCTGCATATAAGTTAAATAAGCAGGGTGACAATATACAGCCTTGACATACTGCTTTCCCAGTTTTGAACCAGTCAGTTGTTCCATGTCCAGTTCTAATTTTTGCTTCTTGTCCTGCATACAGGTTTCTCAGGAGACAGGTAAGTTGGGTATTCCCATCTCTTTAAGAAACTGCTCTTTAGTTTTTACATTATTCATTATTTAGTTTCTTTTGGATTATTTATCATTATAATATATTGTCTTTTCTTTGCATGCATACTCAAGTCTTTCAGAGGTGTCTGACTCTTTGTGACCCCATGGACTGTGGCCTGCCGGGCTTCTCTGTCCATGGAATTTCCTTCAGGCAAGAATACTGGAGTGGGTTGTCATTTCTGTCTCCAGAGGATCATCCAGATCCAAGGATTGAACTCTATAGTCTTTTGCATCTCCTGAAGTGGCAGGCGGATTATTTACCACTGAGCCACCTGCGAAGCCCTGTCTGTTCTTTAGCATGTAATTATGTAGAAGTATGTGTATATTGTGTATAATGTATTTTTTTTCTCCTTAATTATGAGACAGTAGTATGTTTACTACCTATTAGAGCCAAGTAGAGTGTGCTTTGGGGTCATGGTGTGTTAATACCCTTTTCTTTGAGAGCTGACATAGATTTGAACTATATGAATGTTTTTGTCATTGTGTGTTTGAAACTAGCCTACTGTAAAATTAATTTGAATTACAGGTGATCACTCTTCTTTTTTTATTTTTCTAAATTTTATTTATTTATTTGGCTGTGCTGGGTCTTTGTTGCTGCATGAGCTTTTCTCTATTTGTGTAGAGCAGGTGGTACTCTATAGTTGTGGTGTGTGAGCCTCTCATTGCCTTGTCTTCTCTTATTTTGGAACACAGGCTCTAGGTTGTGATGGCTTGTGTAGTTGTAGCATATGGGCTCAATAGTTGTGGCTCCCAGGCTCCCAAGCATAGGCTTAATAGTTGTAGCTCATGGGCTTAGTTGCTCCACAGCATGTGGGATCTTCCCAGGTCAGGGATTGAATCCATGTTTCCTGCATTGGCAGGCAGATTCTTTACCACTGAGCTACCAGGGAAGCCCGATTACTCTTTCTTTATTAAACACTGTTCATTTAGTGTTTCTTTTATTTTGAAAATCATCACTGGGAAGATTCATAATTCCATTTAGGATGGGTATTACTTTTGGTGTAAGATCATGTGTTCAACATGAAAGAATTTATTTATGAATTATAATTAATAGGATACCTATGGTTCTTTATATCTTGTAGGTATGTCTTATACACATAAAAGCCAGAAATTACCGACAAAAGCAAGCAGTGATAAAGGAGAAGTATTTCACACAGTGATGTTGGGAAGACCTGAAAGCCATGAAATCACATATTTTTTCCTCAGAGAGGTCCAGGAGCATTTGCATGAATTTGAGTGTCAGGGGAGAGATGATGAAAGAAATTACAAAGGAACGTCTATAACTATAACCCAGAACAAAAATCTCACTAATGAAAGTGATCGGCACAGTAGAATTGCAGTGGGAGATAAGCCTGTTGAAAATAGGCATGGATCAAACTTTCAAGATGAACTGCAGATACTTCAACCTGAAGGGAAAACATTTGAATGTATTCAAGCTGTGAGGAGTAGCAACAGTACCACCTCAGATTTACGACTTCAGAGAACTCCTAGTTTCTGCACCAGCATTTCTAATATGTGTGAGAGTGCTGTTATGCACCCTTCAGTACTGGCACAAGACCAGGAAGCACAGAGGGGAAAACCGTACAAATGTACTGAGTGTGCCATGACCTTTGTTCAGGACTCGGAACTCACTGGACATCAAAGGATCCATAGAGGAGAGAAACCAAATAAATGTGATGTATGTGGAAAGGCCTTGAGTCAAAATGCAAGACTTATAGGTCATCAGAGAATTCATACTGAAGAGAAACCATATAAATATTATGAATATAGCAAAGCTTTTAGTGCACATTCAGCCTTTACTGACCATCAGGCAGTTCATACAGGAGAGAAACCATATAAATGTGACATATGTGGAAAAGCCTTTAGTCAAAACGCAAGAGTTACAGTTCATAGGAGAATTCATACTGGAGAGAAACCGTATAAATGTGATATATGTGGCCGGTGCTTTACTCGAAATGCACACCTTGGGATTCATCGAAGAATTCATACTGGAGAGAAACCATATAAATGTGATGAGTGTGGAAAAGCTTTTAGTGCCCATTCAGACTTAAGTAAACATCAATCACTTCATACAGGAGAGAAACCATATAAATGTAATTTATGTGGCAAAGCCTTCAGTCTCAGGTCTTATTTTACACTCCATTGGAGAATTCATACTGGAGAGAAACCATATCAGTGTGATGTATGTGGCCAGTGCTTTAGTCGAAATTCATACCTTAGGAATCATCGGAGAATTCATACTGGGGAGAAACCTTACAAATGTAATGAGTGTGGCAAAGCCTTCAGTCAGAGTTCAGGCCTTATAACTCATCAGAGAATTCATACTTTAGAGAAACCGTATAAATGTGATGAGTGTGGCAAAACTTTTAGTGCACATCCAGACTTGACTAAACATCAAGCAGTTCACACAGGAGAGAATCCATATAAATGTAATTTATGTGGCAAAGCCTTTAGGTACAGGGCTTCCTTTGCAGTTCATCACAGAACTCATACTGGAGAGAAACCATACAAATGTGATGAGTGTGGCAAAGCTTATAGTGCACGTTCAACCTTTATTTACCATCAAGCAATACATACAGGAGAGAAACCATATAAATGTAATTTGTGTGGCACAGCCTTCAGGTACAGGACCGACTTTTCAGTTCATCAAATAATTCATAATGGAGAGTAACCTTACAAATGTCCTGAGTGTGGCAAAGTCTTTAGTCAAAGTTTAGTCCTCATAGTCAATCAGAGAGTTCATACAAAAGAGAAACCATGTAAATATGATATGTGTGGTCGGTGCCTTACTCAAATTGCACACCTTGGAATTCATTGGAGAATTCATAACTGGAGAAAAATCTCACAAATGTAATCAGTGGCAAAACCTTTAGTGCATGTTCAGCCTTAACTGACCATTAGGCAGTTCATAAAGGAGAGAAACCACAGACATGTAATTAATGTGCAAAGCCTCAGTCACAGGAATCACTTCAGATCTTCTGAGAATCATACTACAGTGAAAACTTACAAATGTAATGAATGCAGTAAAGCATATCATCTGTTTGACCCTCAGAAAAGTCGCACTGGAGGAAAACCACACAAATGTGTTGTATGTGGCAAAGCTTTGATTCTATGTCCAGACTTAAGTAACCATCAGGTAATTAATTCTGAATTGAGATTTTACGCACAGCATGGCAGGTGTTTTGGAAGGCATTCATTTCTCACAAAGCAAGAGAAAATTCATGCTGGAGAGAAGCCATACATTTAAGAGTGCAGTCAATCTTAAGTGACCATAAGGTAACTCTTATGGAGGGAACCATATAAATGTAATGTGTGGCCGGGTCTTCAGTAACAGGTCTCCATTCACATCATGAGAGAATTCATAATGCAGAGACACCTTACAAACGTAAGGTAAGGAACATACTGGAACAGTACTTTACAAATGCAGTGGGGGTGGAAAAAGTTTCACCTTGAGTTGGATGCATTTGACAACAAGAATCCATATTGAAGAGGAGTCATGGAAATGTGTGGGCAAGGGCTTTCTCCAGGCTCCAATGCACTAGACCTCAAATTACATATCTTTCAGAGAAACTACACAGATATAATATGTCCACGCTAAAACTTTAACCCAAAGTTCAAATCTGTGAAACATGAAAGGATTTATATTGGAGAGCAAGCTTGTATAGGTAATGAATTTTGTATAGTTTTTTTCATCAGATATTCACAGCTTGGGCATAAGGAGGTAATTTATGCAGATAAGAAACTGAACATATATACTGAATGTGAAAACACTTCTAAGAAAACCAGTATGTCTTCAAGATTCACCAAGAAATTCATATTGGGGAGAATCCTTATAGATGTGATGAATTTGCTAAGTTTTTAAACCAGTTTTTACAGGAGGCCACACATCAGACAATTCATATTAGGAATAAATAAATCTTTAGTTCTCCAACATTAACCTCCAATACTATTGCAGAATAATTGTATTAAATATGTTAAAACTTATGGCATGAGGGGTATATTAAATGTGTTGAAACTGAAGGACATGTAGGAAGATAGCCCAGTATCTTCAGTGTGTAAAGTATTTAATTAGTTGAGTTTTCTTGAGAAGGCCATATTACTATGACTTTTCCATAGTAGTTTGAAAACCTTCTATAGCTTTCTTACAGGCCTTTCATGATGTTCTCTGCAGAGGAATTAGTAAGACGAAGATGCTAACCTGATTAACTGTGGTTTGTTCATATCCATCTTTCCTGAGAAAACAGGGACACTGAATTATTCAATTCACTGGTGTGTGAATTGGCATCAGGTAAGGGCAGAGAATAATGTAAAACTGTGCCATAATTTATGCTTGTTATGTTCAGGGTGGCCTTCCATACACAGACCACAGTGTGTTGTAGGACTGTGTGCTATACCATCTGGGTGCTATACCATCGAGAGAGTAGTTATCTGACTGGAATTTAATCAAAAGAAATCAAATAGTATGTATATGTGTATGATTGACATTTAACTGCTGCCATTACCATTTGCTACTGTTTTATTCAGAATGTATCATGGATCTCCTCTTTTGATTCATAAAATGTAATCTCCACAACCCTGAATGAATCATGTTCTTCCCACCAACAGGGTTTCATCCAACCTCAGTATTTTGTAACAGATGGTAATAATGCAATGTTAGGCTCTTGGGGCTGAAACAAACTATGAGAATTGCTTTCCACAATGGAACCAAAGAACATGCAATTTGGGAATTACATATTCATAATTTGCACTTGTGTTACTCTTTCCACACTGCTTCAGAACATTGACAGCTGTGATTAAAATACCATAGCAGTGCATTTTCAGACTCAAAATATGTTTAAATAGAAAAATTGTGGACTTCCCCAGCAGTCCAGTGGTTCAAACTCCACCCTTCACTGCAGAGGGCACAGGTTTGATTCGTGGTCAGGGAAGTAAGATTCCGCAAGACGCCAGGCAGGGTCCCCCCTGCCCCCCCCCCAAAAAGGTGCAAAAACTTGAACTTAGAGATTTTAAAGATCTAATTGAAGTTGAATGATTCATGAATCAGGCAGCATCCTATCTAGTTCATTCAGGGGTGCTCAAAGGAACTGTACAACATGGAAGGTTTCTGTAGGTAGAAACTGGATAGGACAAGAAAATTATTCACAAACACATTGCTTCAGGTCTGGTCTCCTGTGCAGGGGTGTGGGCAGGTGGAGGGTGTAGCCAGCATCTTGCCCTGCAGATTACTGCACTAGTGTCCCGGAAATTCCAGTCAGTGACTCCTGGTCACGTTTTTAAGCAGGCAGACACTGCAATGAAGTGTTGGTTTGCCCTCCTGGAGGCAGCGGCTCCACCTTGGGCCTGTCTCTTCTTTTTAACATGGCCTGAACCTTGCCATGCATCAGTGAGTGTGCCCTGTATGAATAGGTGTCTTCATGTCCTTTCTGTATTCCTTGATTGACATGAAGACAAAATAAGCATATAGTTGTTTAGTCATGAAGTGTCCAACTCTGCGACCCATAGACTGTTGCCCGCCAGTCTCTGTGGAATTTCCCAGGCAAGAATGCTGGAGTGGGTTGCCATTTCCTCCTCCAGAGGATCTTCTTGACCCAGGGATCAAACCTTCATCTCCTGCATTGACAGGCAGACTCTTTACTGCTGAGCCAGCTGGGAAACCCCAAATAACAAAGGTGAGTCTTTAAATTTTAATGTTATATATTCTAATTCTAGCATCAAGGCTGGGAAATGAAAAATACCCATTTTTGAAATGTCATTTGTACCACCCTACCTGAAAGTGAGAGAGAAAGTCTTGTAGTTGGGAAATTATTTTAAATTTTCATTATGTAAATTTTTACATTTGTTTTGAAAGACATGAAACAGTTTTTTCTTACAATCTTCAATTTTTTTTTATTTCCACATATAAATTTTCAGTAAAGATCACTCCAATGTAATGAGTTCCTTCACTCTTATGATAACTTCACAAACATAGCCATGTGTATTCTTAATTTCTCAGCCACTGTGCAGCAAGGCAAGGCCATGAGACCAGTTTTGCCAAATACAATGTGAGTGCAAGTAATGCATTACTCATCTGAATGACCAAAATTTTTTTTTTGAATGACCAAATTTTTCTGTGTTATAAATAAATCACCCAGGGAATTCCCTGGTGAACCAATGGTTTGATTTCTGTCCTTTCACTGCCCAGAGGGCCTAAGTTCAAGCTCTGGTCAGGGAACTAACATTCTGCAAGCTGCATGGCATGTAAAAAAAAAAAAAAAAATCACTAAGAAAGACCCTTTGTCAATCTCCAACTGGATTAATTGACCCAAATGTGGCCTAGCTATTGCTCCAAGCAATTACTGGTACGGTATCAGTGTAATTTTCTACCAGCCTGTAAATTCTTTTTTTAACTTATGTTCTGTTTAATGTGGGGATGATTCATTTCTTTATTTTTGGTTGTGCTGGGTCTTATTTGTTGGGCTCAGGGTTACTCTAGTGGTGCTTGGGCCTCACTGTGGTGACTTTTCTCGTTGCAGAGGCATGGATCTAGGTCATGTGGGCTCAGTAGTTGTGATGCTTGGACTTAGCTGCCCTGCAATATATGATGTCTTCCTGGACCAGGGAGCTAACTGTGTTCCCTGGGAAGTAGATTCCTAACCACTGGACCTACAGCGAAGTCTCTCATCGAATGTTGTATAAGCACCTGTGAGATCCATTGAGAGGAAGCTGAAACCATAAATAAATTCTCCCAGACTGAATTTTTTGTTTGTTTGTTTCGTTGGTTGTTTTAAATTATGGGGGTTCTTACAGTTAATCATTATATGTCTTTGTATTCACCTTTTAATTTGATCTTTTCAGAGATACAAATAAAACTACAAGAAAGCTGTTTCTCTGTGTGTCTGTGTACACGAATGCGCTAGGTCACTTCAGTCCTGTCTGACTCTTTGCGACCCTAAGGACTGTAGCCTCCCAGGCTCCTCTGCCCTTTTGTCTCCTGCACTGGCAGGCAGATTCTTTACTACCAGTGCCTCCTGGGAAGCTGAAAGCTGTTGCTAATGAGCTCTAAAAATGTCGCAGTTTAGAAGTTTCTCTTATTTAAAGGATCCACCATCTGGCTATTGAGTAGTAATAGCTCAACAGCCCCTCAAGGTGGTAAGACACAAGACACGTCACCACAAGAGGGTGCAAAGAATGCAGCCTTCAAAATAGTCTAAGAAAGTGAAAGCCCTTGTACAAGTAGACAAAAGGAAGGTTAAAATAATGGCAGGGACTATTAACGGCTGGGACCCCTAATGACAAATTCCCCTGAGAGCTGGCCCAGTCTGTTTGACTGGCTGCCAAATATAACTCTGTGTGTAACTTCCAGACCAAGTTCTCAAAACAGAACAAAATGCCTAAAAAGATCGGGTAGAACATTGATATCACAAAGGTACAAGGAGAGAAATGCAGGTTCCTCTTAGAAGGACTTAATCCTTTAGGGTCAGAATTCTGAAAAAATGTTTTACAAAACTGGCTTTCTCTAGCCAGTTTTGGAATGTCAAAAAGAGCTCCCGTGTTGGCCATTTTTAAAGCAGAATTTCCTTAGTACCCAGTTAAGTACCCCCAGTATAAATTCCATACCTCCATAAAGCTGGCTCAGGTTTTCTTGGAGGTTGGAGTCCTGATGTTTCTTGGTCAGTCCAGATCACTCGGTGT